TTCATTAAACACAATGATTATTAAAAATTTAATGATATAAACTTACAATGAAATAGATTGTATGAGGGGTGCCTGGGTGGCTCAATTGGTTGGGCGTCGGCCTTTGGCTCAGGTCATGATCCCAGGGTCCTTGGATCCAGCCTCTCGTCAGGCTCCCTGGTCAGTGGGAAGTCTGCTTCTCCCTCTCTTTCTGCCCCTACCCCCACTCATGCTCTCTCTCTCTCAAATAAATAAAATCCTTAAAGAAATAAAAAAAAATTTAAAAAAGAAACATTGTATGAAAAACAAAAGTAATAAATACTCAACATCATCTCTTTCCAATTATTTCACTACATTTTACTATTACATATGCCCTTGAGATTATTTACGAGATTATCTCCATGGTATATAATGGCATATTACTGCAAATTTCTTCCCACCTTTGTGTTCAGTGACTTAGCAGCCTGAAATCAGCTATGATGGGAGTATTGACACCATGGAAATTGATAATTGCTGCAAATTAGGAATACCTCCTCCACACCTACCTCCAGAGCCAAATGTTAAATATTTACCAGTGTAACAGTCTTATCTTGTCTGGAATGTTGCAAAAGCCTCCCAGCTGGTCTGGGGAGCCACGATTCCACTATCTTAACTAATGTTAATTTTTTTTTTTTTTTTTAATGAAGATCAGATTGCAAGACTTTCCTGCCTAAAGCTCCCCAACCCCATTGGCTGCCCAATACCTTCTCGGGAATGTGGGACCTAGGTACCTTCCTGCCTTGTTCATCCCTTGCCTTTCTTCCTATTCCCTGAGCCACCTGCTAAGCTCCTCCCCATCGCAGGAATTTTTTTTTGCTGATTCTTCTTATCCTTCTTTCCAAGACAAGATCAGCTTTTTCTCATGTTCAAGTGTCAACTCAACCATCACCTCCCCAGAGAGGTTTCCTCTGATCATGTTCTTGACACCCACCACCCTCCCCATTCCTAGATCCCTGCCCTTCTCCATAGCTAGAGGTTGTTCTCTTCCTTGTAGCCCTCTGCACCATTTTAATTCCTCTTGTTTATTTATTGGTTGACTTTGTCTACTTTCTGTCTCTCGCTAGAATGTGAGCTCCACCAAAGGAAACCCTTTGCCTTGTTCCTGGCTGTCTCACCATCACCTAGAACAGTGACTGACACATAGTAGGTACTGAGTTGAGGTGAACTCCAGCCCACCCAAAGACCCATGTGGGGGCCAGCCAAGATCAGCCAAGCCTCAAGCCTTGTTTTAAGCCACTGAGTTTTGCAGTGGTTTGTTATGCAGCAATAGCTGATCGATACAGATTCTTTTGTGGGTTTTCCTTTCTCTGTCCAGGGCTCCAGTACTGGCTTTCTCTTGTCCCCATCCACATGCAGCTCGCAGCTCTATATGCTGTGTGTGGTCATCTCTGTCCTGAAGGTTCAAACCCCCACTCATGTGCTTAGCTTTCCAGTCTGTGTTACCCACACTGGCCTCAGTGTCTGAGCTTCACAGAAACAGTCTCTCCACCTGGACTTCCCTCAGGCTTCTCAAATTCTACATGTCAATAAACATGCAACATCCTCCCCAATTCCTGTCCCCTACATATTCATTCTCCTATGGGTCCTGCCCCAGTGGTGTCACTCAGGCTGGGAACAGGGGCTCACAGGTGGTAGATCCCTGTACCTCACACCCCATGGTCACGAACCCTCACCTACTTCACCCCCTAATTGCCCCTCATAAAATATCATTGCACCTCCCTCTCCTGCCACCGCCCCATTCCCAAGCCCTCGTCACTGGAGCTATTACAATGGTTTCCCAACCTAGTGGGTCCCCAACCAAGCTAAGCATCACTACCACCGGAAAGAGAGTGCCAAGGGAGTGATGTCAGCTGTCATGGATCACAAACCTCTCCCTGAAGTCACCACCCCCCCCACACAGCATGCCTTTCAGTATGTGGCACCAAGTGCAGCAGTTCCTGCATGGACCCGCGGACCCTGAAGCCCAACTCTCCTCCTCTAACTAACCCTGAGACATTGACCAGGTTGCTCAACCTCCTTGTGCCTCAGTTTCTTCATCCCTATAATGGAGATAATAACTGTACCACCTATACTGAGTTGTTCTGAGGGTTAAATAATTTTACCTGCATGTAGGGCATTTCAAACAGCACCTGGTACACGACAAGATGTAAAAACGTTAGATATTGTTACAATGGCTTTGTTTCCATGTGACATTCTATTCTGTGTGTCATTTATCACCCTTTCATAGCTGTTGATAAAGCAAAAGTTCTTTTTACACTGTAAGATATTCTCATCTCTTCTGTCTACTCTTTTACTATCTGTGATTTAGTAATAGAAAGCAAAGCACCATCATGAGTGAATGGACCATACTAGGTAATTCTTCTTGTATAGTTTCCTATTAAGAACATTCTATTTGTTTTTAACACACAACTAAAACCCACTATGCCTCTCCATCTCCCCACAGGCACCCCTGTCCACCTAATCTTGGGGTAGTTCCTGTTTTTCCCAGACACACCTTGGGAGAGTGCAAGGCCTAAACTCGTTGATGAGGCTGAGCAGGACCAAGGATGGGGGTCTGTGGGCACAGCAGTGGCTGTGAGAGTCAGGTCAGGCCAGGCAGCGGGTTGGGGGGGTGCTGCCCTGGGCCTAACAGAGCCTAGTGGAGGGAGGACAAGGAGCAGGGAGGGAGGAAAGGCAAAGGCTCAGGCCAGGCCACATCTCCATACTGAAACATACATTGTGTTGAGGCCAAACCAAACGTTAGATTGTGGGAGGGAACAGAGAGCCCCTTTTTTGTAAGTACCCCTCATGCCTAGGAACTTTGCCATTCTGTAATTCATTTAACGTATTTACAGAACATGCATTTACTGAGCCTCTACTCTGTGTAGGTGTTGTGTCAGGCTCTGGGTCACAGTTGCCTAGAAGATACGACCGTGTCCCCTCCAGACCCTTCAGGCACGTATCCTTCTGCCAAGGGTTTTTGTGGTGAGCAGATGCTTTTCTCTGCCAGAAGGCTTTCTCTTGCTGACAGGGCATGGGACTAGTTAAAGTCCTCTCAGAGGAAGCCCTCAGTCAATGAGGAGTGGGGATGGGGGATAATAACCCATCTCCTCACCCCTCAGGTAGGACATGTCTGGGATGTGTTCCACACGGTTTCCCAACAGGCTGAGTAATACTGAGCCTGGTTGCCCACACCAGTCATTTGCTTGATATTGTGTTACTTGCCTGATACAGCTCCCTCCCATTCTACTTCTCTACCAATGTGTCCTGTGATCACCCCCACCAAATGAGTCACTTGAATCCCAAACCCCCTGTCAGGATCTGCTTCTGGGAAAACCTAAACAGTGAATAAGATGAGGGTCTCTGCCCACAGCAAGGTCCTTAAGGGCAGTTGAGTCTTTACTGGGTCTGTGTATCACTCTAGGCTGCTTGCCCAGCCTGCTAGTGAATACCAGGCACTCAACAAACACCAACGAATGAATGAATGAATGAAGAACGAATGAATTTCCTCTCTAAAACCCAGATCGTCCTAGAGGGGTACACCCATGTCAGGGAAGTTAACTGGTTTACCCATGGTCAATTAGAACTAGTTGATATGCCAGCCAGAGGCTGAGATTCTGGATTTTTCTTTCAAGTGGAGGCTCACCACTGGGAAAAGACTGGGTGTTGAAAGTTAATCCTGGTTAATTCCCACTGATTAATCATTAATGTGTTAAGGAACTGCTGAGATTAAAAATAGGAATGAACAGTTTAACTTCAACTCAACTCCTCAACTCCCTCACCACAGCTTGTATTTTCCACATCTTTCTAACAACAACTAGTACAGTGATGGGGGGGGTGGTAATGTGAAATTGTCCAACAAATAGATATTAGGAACCGGATTCTGCAGCCACAGGGACCTAGGAAGTGGTGTGGAGCAGATTAGGCTGCAGCAGCCCTTTTGGCTTTTTGTAAACCTTAATTTGAAAGAAGCTGGCTTTGGCTCAAGTTCAAAGAGTTGGCCTTAAGAGACCCCGATATAATGGTTAAAAACCAGGCCTAAAATTACCTTAATTGAAAGACTTATTTGGTTATGAAGAGACAGTAGTTAGCTTATATTGAGGGGAGGAGACCATATTATGAAGTACTATTTGCTCAGTTTTCCGGGAAACGGGTGAGTTTGCTTGGGTCAGACCCTCTCACCCTCTTCCTTACACGGAGTAAAACACCATAGGGTGGATTACATTTATTGCTGTGCCCGCCGTGCTTTGTAAGGAGTAACTCAAATAGACTGTACTCAGTTGTACCACCCCTAAAAATGGGTGCAATCACATCCACCCTCGACTCCTTATGCACCTTCTGGTCTTTCGATCCCAATTCCTCCATTTGCTCAAGAAAATCCTTTCTGGTACTGAATGCCATCTCTGAAGATTACAGCTCGTCCTCTTGGGGCTGACCACCAGCAGAATTTGTCCTCACACCCTGGGCCTGGAGGTGCCGCTGCCTGGGGGAAGTTAGTGGGTTTAAATAAGGCACTCCTCCCGGCTGTTGGCGGGTTGCGCAACCGCGCTCAGGGTGACACCCACCGCCACCTCGGCCTGCCGAGATTCAGGGCGCAGGCTCCGCACCGTCAGGATTCGAACCTTCCGCAGCCTGCCTGGGCAGAGCCGGCCCCTAGGCAGTGACTGCGAGAGGCGCCGCGGGCCTGGAGTGGGCGGGGCTGACCGGCGGGCCCCCCACCCTCCGCCTTTGGCTGGGCGTTTCGGCCCCGCCCCGCCCCCGCGCTGGGCCGAGCGCCGCACCGCGCGACCCCGCCCCTCCCCGGCCCCGCCCCCCGCGGCTCCCCGCAGCTCCTCCCCTCTCCCATTGGTCGAGGCGGAGACCCTCCTCTCTGCCCAATGGCCGCCGCCGCGGCTCGGCCGCCTGCGCTCTGACTGGCCAGCGACCCACGGAGTGGCGGGGCGCGGGCCAATGGGGAGAGGCGGCTCGATGAATGGCTGGCCCGGGTGGGGAAGGCAGGAGGCGGTGATCCCAGTGGAGGGGGCCGTTCGCCAGCTCCGAGGCAGAAAGTGCCACGACTCCACACGCGCGCACGCAGCCAGCGAGCGGCCGGAGCGGACGGCGGACGGGGCGGACGGCGTCGGGGTCGCGGCGCCTGCAGCTGCTCGGGGGCGGCTTCTCGGCGGAGGCTCGGCCGGCTCCTCTCTCCCGGTTCCGCGGCGGCGGCGACTCCTGCCCTTTCGCTCTCCCTCCCGCGTCTCCGGCTGCAGGTAAGAAACTTGGCCGGGCCCTGCAGCGGCGGCGGCGCGCGGGCCGGGCCGTCGGGGCGCCAGGGCCGGAGCCGGCAGCGCCGCGAGTGACACGTCTCATTGGCGGCCCCTCCCCCGGCGGCGCCGCCCGTCGCCTGCCGTCGCTGCGGCCGCCGACCCTCGGGGTCGGGTCGGACCCCGGGGGGCGTGTGCCGGGCGAACCCCGTGCAGGGGCGGCGGCCGAGCGCGCCCCGCGCTGTGGACCTCACGCCCCTCGCCGTCCTGGTGGGGGGAAACCTGCGGCGGCCCGGCAGTGCGACGTGGCGACCCCTCCCTCCCTGCGGGCCGTCGGACCGGCCCGCACGCTCCGAAGTTGGGCTAAGAAAGTTGGCTGCGGGGCGGGGCGGCGCACAGCTGGCGGAGGAAGGGGTTAAGTTTCGGGAAGCGGCCGGATGACGTTGCCCGGCTGGAGTCCGGGCTGGAGGGATGGGGGGGCGGGCGGAAGGCGGCGGGGGCCGGCCGGGGGGGAGGAGGGCGGGATTGAATGGGGGGCCCGCGGGCCGAGCACGCCCGCCTGAGGGCTGCGGCCTGGAGGCGCTTCCGGGGGGGCGGGCGGCCCCCGACAAGGCGGGCCTGGGACTCGGGGCTGCGGGGAACGCCGTGCAAGGACCGGGACCGTACGGGGTCCGGACGCCGGGGCGGCCGGGGTGGCAACTTCCCGGAGTGCGGGCGGCGGCTCTCTGCTCCCCCTGGCGGCGGGGCCGGGGGCTCCGTTTCCCCGGCCCGGCAGCGCGGAGCCCGGCGCGAGGCGCCCAGCGGGGTGATGGGGCCACCCGGGCCCTGCCCGGTCCGCCCCGCCCGCGCCACGATGAATGGGCCAGCGGTGCCAGGCCCAGGCGGAAGCGGGCACCTCCGGCCCGGGCGGCCAAGCGCGCTGGCACCCGGCCTGGCGCCGTCCCCGGCCCGCCGGGCTCCCCAGTCCGCGCCCTGGGGAGGAAGGACGGGCTGGGGTGTGCGCTTCTAGTAGGGCGTCCGGGAAGCGTCGGGGACCCTTCCCCAGATTACAGATAATAAAGGATAGCTCACTGTGGTGTAACGGTTAAGGGAGTGGGCTTCTGAAATCCCAGCAGCGTTCAGGGTGACCTGGGCCAAGCTGTCTCACTCCGGGTGTCCGCTTTCCCGTCTGAAAAACGGGGCTGCCAATCATTTCTACTTAAGAGAAAAGCGGTGAAGACCCAGCACACGTAGGGAATAGCCAACAAGTGTTGCTTGGTACTGCTGGGATGAGTTTTTAGGGGCTTGCGGGGCATGAGAGGGAGGTGGAGTCTGGTTCTGCCTCCAGCCTGCCTACCGCAGGCGGAGGGCTCACAGAAGTCCCAAGGTCTGGATTCCACTCCCAGCCCTCACTTACAGACCCTCTGCGCAAGTCCCTTAACCTCTCTGAACCTGGGTTTACTTATCTGTAACCTGGAGATATACCACCCACTCACAGTACGGTCAGGGCAACCTCCCCAGCAAGAGCTGGGAAAAACTAGGACCTTGTGCAAACAGAAGGCAGTTTGGCAATAACTCCTGGAGGTCGGAGGTCAGCAGAGACTGGGAAGCACCAAGGAAATGAAACTTTGAAGGGTGCTTGGGAACCTCCCACCTCACTGCTTGCTTACTGTGCTGGAACCTGCAGCGTGGGGGTATTTTTTGGAGTTTGGGGAAGTGAGACCACCAGGGCCTCAACATCCTGAACTAGAGATCGCTTTAGAATTCTGATTGCTGAGTGTTTCTGGAGACCCGGGTCTTCTTTCCAGCACTCTCAGGAGGGACAGCTGCACGTTTTACACCCGCCCTACGCAGTTGGGAAGCATTCTCCTATTGACTCTACCTCCCTCCTTACACTTTCCTTCTGTGCTTGCTCTTCTTAACTTCCTCTTAATCTGACACCAGAGAAGTCTTGGTGATCCTGCAGCATGCTGCTTACGATGGTGATGTCTCAATTACTTTATGAACTTTCTAAAGGTCAGCCCCACCATGGGCTGCCAACCTGTTTCCTTTCCAGAAAGAAATTTCCGGTTCTAAGGTCCTGGAGATGCCATTTCCCTATCCATTTACGCAAAGGAGGAAAAGTGGAGGCATACCTCCCACTAGGCTGTTTTCCCTTTACCTGGAGCAATGCAACCGTGGCTTGCAGGGCGGCTGGGATAGGGACAAGAAAGGTGTCTTGGGGTTTGGAAACAGAGGATGTTTAGTGGGTAGAGCTGTAGGCACCATGCTGTAACAGGACTCCTTTCTTTCATAGTTAGGAATCAGCCTTTGAACATCTGTAAAGAGATAAGTTAGTGTGGTACCTTGGTGCATGAATATTTTTTGGTGATTGGAGAGTTTTAGATAAGTCCTGAATGATTGAGTCACATTGGAGCAATTAAGCTCTTTGCTGAAACGATTCCTAAGTTAACAGGCTGCAATAATTATACAGTACCAAATTCTGTCGAAGTGGTTGAATGGAAATGGTTTAAGTGGAATATTGGCTTATTATGTAATAGGGACACCTTTTAAAAGTGTCAGGACCCCAGACTCTTCTTATTCTTTTATCTCTGGGAACTTTTACTAATGAATGACACTTAGGCAGGGACTCAAGTTCTTTTAAGACTGTGGATTTTTGTTCGCTAAAATCTTGTTTTGGGAGGGAAAAAATAATGGTCAGTCAGAATTAGGAAGGCAGAGACTGCTATCCAGCTGTACATCCAGGCCCTACAGTAGTAGTTAAGGCCTGGCCTGTAACACGATAAATGTTGACCAAGTGAGGTAGACCGCCATACCTGTTAATATTCTTGCTAGTTAGCCTCCTACTTCATTGGACAACTCAAGCTGAGCTCAGCTTGGTTTTTAAGGTTGACTGTTGAGAATCAGAGTTCACAACTTGGACGCATATCTAGGCCTTGCAGCAGCCCCATTCTATAGAATAGGTATGGTTGTTCCCATTCTGTGGATGGGAACATGGAGGCCCAACAGGTCAAGTGGTGATGGTCAGTTCCTGTTGCCCAGCTGCTGGGCAGTGTGGGCCTGGCCTTCTGAATATCACCCACAGGGCCTGATAATTCCACATTTGCTGGGATAGTAACTACCTAAGGGAGGACGTGGAGCTAGAAGATCAGAATTAAGAGCTGAAGGAAGAAAGGTACACAGCCGATTGAAAATGTATTCAGTGCAAGAAGGTATTTTTCATTTCTTTATCAAATGTCTCCTGTGTGCTGGGCCTTCAAACACTGTAAATATAAATGAGTGAGACCTGTTTCTTGTGTGAAGAACTCTGTTGTCCAATGCAGTAGCTACATAGGGCTGTTTCAGCTTAAAACAAGTACAATCAAGTAAAATTAAAAAATTGTTTCTTAGTCATACTAGCCGTATTTCACATGCTCAGTAGCTGTGTGTTTGCTGTGCAGATTTAGATCGTTTCCATTATCACCAGGAGTTCTCCTGGACAGTGCTGATCTAGAGATAGCTGGAATTCTTTTTTTCTTATTTTTTTTTTTTTTAAGAGTTCAAGGTAGTTGGAATTCTTTAAACATTCAAGTCTCTGTTCTTGAGCATTTAGAAGTATCATGTTGAACCATATAAGATGCCCATTTTATACGTCATTAACAGTTGGCTAGTGGCAGTTCATGGGCTTCACCCTAATAAGATACCACCCTTGGAAAGCATTGATTTCTGCCTCTTTGTGTGCATCGTAAATTGCATACCAAGAAAAAAAGTGGGTGAGGGAGCAGCACAGATAGTGGCCCAACCCCGGGGGAAATTCTTAACCTGCTATCAACAGCATCAGAATGGTCAGCCGGACCAAGCCAAATAGGTATTGGGCAGACGGCATATGGCTTGTAGGGAAAGTTAATATTTAATTCTAAGGGAGAGCCTGGGCAAGAGGGCTATCCAGCATTATGGAAAATTAACTAAGGGACTTCCTAGGAGGCTGTTTTCTTAGGCAGACAGATTCTGACGAGTCTCCTGAAACCAGCAATCCGACTGCCACATCTAAAAACCAGACACATCTGGGGCGCCTGGGTGGCTCAGTCGGTTAAGCATCTAACTTCGGCTCAGGTCATGATCTCAGGGTCCTGGGATTGAGCCTCCGCATTGGGCTCCCTGCTCAGGGGGGAGTCTGCATCTCCCCCTCCCTCTCTCCCTCCCCCTGCTTGTGCAGGTGCATGCTCTCTCCCTCAAATAAATACAATCTTTGAAAAAAATAAAATAAAAACCAGACACATCTAATGTGTTTCCCTTAAGTGCCGTGAGTGACATGTGTATCCCACTGTCTAGCAATGGGAAGCAACTTTGATTTATGAAGAAAGTTTTGTAATTTCTAAATTCGATTATTTTGGCAAGATTGGAACAGCTGCTGGTCCTTAAGCCTTACACGTAGCAGTGTCTTGGTGTTTTCATACTTGGCTCACATGAGTTGTTTCCTGGGTCATTTGCAGGGCTCTGTTATACTCTATACAACTTTGAAAGGATCACTGGAGAGTATTTGGGAAGACTTTGTGAATTCTTGGCTGTACTAGTGGGCTTATCTTAGTCCTCCTTGTAGAATAAGGTAAAACCAAAGTTAACAAAGAACACAGAATGATGGGCAGCTGCTTACTCTCTTTTCGGTCAGACAGGAGGTTCACTAAGATTGTTCTGGAAGTTATCAGCTATTTATAGTGATAATGAATGGCATCTGCTGGCTAAAAAGTTGGAATAAAAGACCATCTTAAGCTGAAACCTTTAATTCCAGGCCCTAACCCTGGTCAAGGTGTGAGTGGACCAGGTCTGTTTTAGGCTGTCTTGAGCCTGGTTCCAAGATGGTGCCCTGCATGGACTGAACTTGGCCTGCACATGAGATCTGTTTGGCCACCCTCATGTTATTAAACAACTAAGCCACTTTTAAAGTTTTTCATTAGAAGTCTAGCTTTGGGGGATTCTTCTGGGGAGAATGGGAATGTGTGAGCACAGCAGGTCTGCTTTCTTGCATGGCAGCCATGGACTTGATCATC